GTGACAGGGGGGTGACTAGTAACAGTGGGGGGTGACTAGGGACAGGGGGTGTGACTAGTGACAGTGGGGGGGGTCTAGGGAGGGGGTGATTAGAGCCTACCTGTGCTTACTCTGCTCTCCCTGGCTGCTGCTCCTTCCCCTCGCTGGGCTCTGTGTGTGAGAGGAGAGTACAGGAAGTGAGGTCACTTCCTGGCCCCGCCTCTCCCATCACACAGAGCACCGCGGGACAGGGAGAAGGAGACCTGGCAGAGAGGGAGAGGAGGTAAAGCTGCCAGGTCTCCATGGGGGGGGACTTACAGGGCGGTAGGTTGTGGGGCCCCAAGCTGCATCAGGGGCACCACAACCTATTAATTAAATAGTTTTATTTTATTATTTTGCCGTTCCAGTTGGAGAGATCTCTGATCTCTCCAGCTGGAGCATGGCTGTGCTGCCGGGCCCCTGACTGCCTCGGGCCCTCGGTCCATGACCGATATGCCCGAGTGGTCAGTCCGCCCCTGCATATCTATGTTTCCCAGCAGCAGAGATATGGAACAAGGCTCTAGTCTAGGAAATGAGAAACTAGACTATGATGATGAGCCTGAAGATCTCTCTGTTGAAGACAGTCCACCACCACCTACTCAGTCTCCCCTACTGATATCTGCCCCCTCCCCCAAAACTCCAGCAGTGCCAACTGACTCTCCAGTTGATTGTGAAATTTCACAGTCTTCCCCACCCATAACTAGTAGTGGCACCCATCGTTCCACAGTGTGGGAACATTTTGCAACAATTGGAGATGGCCGCCTGGCAAAGTGTAAACTGTGTGGCAGGGAAGTCGGCCATGGGAAGGTGTCAGGTCATCTTACTAACTCTGGTATGAACCAACATCTTCGTACACACCACAAAGCCATCTTGCTAAGGCAAGAAAGTGGTGTGGCTCCACCACCTAGCAGCACTAGGAGAAGTAGTAGTGCCACCACCACTAGGCAGGACAAGGGGAAGGGGGATCATCGAACTTCTGCTGCAGGGCATAATGCCACCAGTCATCTAAATTATGCTGCACAGCCCACCCTAGAAACCCTAGGTGGGTTTCACTCTAGGGGGATGTCCAGCCAGCAGTCCAGGAAAATTACTCGGCTCATCGGTGCTCCTTTTAACATGGTAGAAGGGGAGCCCTTCAAGCATCTTATGGAGGCTGTTGCACCGCAATATGTCATTCCATTGCGCACTACTCTTAGCAGGATCTACCGTTCCTGTGTTGCGGTGTTGAAGGAGCACTTGGCAAAAGCTGGTGGCCGGTCAGTGCACTTCACAACTGACTTGTGTATTGCTCCTAGTGGCCAGCATGCCTTCCTATCCTTGGCCTGATAGTGTAGCACCATCATCTAATAGTGTAAGCAGCACTGCTCAATCCATTGGAGAAGCTGTGTTTTGGGCTGAGGCACTGGATAGTTTGGTGGGACCCACTACAGTTCCCTCAAGAAAAGGAAGTAGTGCTGGTGAAGGCTTTCCTTGGTGAACCACCTATCACTTCTACTATCCTATGAGCTCCTCTCTTGTCCCCCAACCAATGTCCAGAGTGAATGTGTTTTTTCTGTTACCAGAAACATACTTTGCCCTCAGTGCTCCCAACTGGCTCCGCAGCTCAAAAAGCAAATGGCTTTCCTGAAAGTCAATCTGCCCATGTTGGGTTACCCCACTCTTAACTTTGGTACAGATTGAACTACTTCGTCCATAGCCTCCGTCTGACCCTTCCCACCATCTACCATAGAAATATCAATACTGCTCAAGGGTGTTTTAGCTGGTGGTATGTTAGGCTGAATGACAACTGTATATAATTTATTTGTTATGTGTTATAAGTTAGCAATTATTCACAGTCTCTGAAAGGCATCATGCATTAAATGGGTCCATTCACGTAGTGCAGGCCAGGCATAGTGGTGCCCTTCTCTCTTGCTGGCATAAATTTACTCCAAAAATGGATTAAAAAGTAAATAATTTATAATGTTTCTCCTGCCCTCTATGCTTGTGGTGTTGCCACTATGTGGTCTTTGAAAAGTCTGTGCTGGACATTGTGACAGAGCGCAGGTCATTGTAATTTGTGTTAGTAATTGTATGTATATATTCCCCTAAATGTATTGCAGTACTGTGCTGTATATGTTGTCGAATAACCCCAGGGAGAATGTCTGTCTGTCTTGATTCAGGCAACACAGTATAAATGTGTAATTTAATATGGGTCCCGAGGGTGGACATTTGGAGTGAAGGGTGGGCCAGTTCTCCACCCCACAGTTTATATGCAGCAAAGCAGGTGAGGAATCCAATCCAGGAGTTCTTTTTAATGTGCTGTGATAATAATATTCCATATTAATTAAGAATGATTGATTAATCACTATTGAGCAAGTTAAACTATTATAGTACTGAAAATGTTAATAACCACAAAACACAGCACCAGAATGACTCATGCTTAGCTTCACAAGATAGTTATGAGAGCGTAGCTAGCTTTTTAGATAAGAGATTATTAACCGCACAGATCTGGCATGGCATTGTTGGTGCTTTTGCAAGGTCTTTGCTGGGCTGCACTGATAAGAAGATTTGGTGGATATTTATAGACTATTCACCCCATTGATGTATAACTTATAAAAGACAAGAAATATGCACACCAGTGGGGGTGTGGTCTGATCGTTTGATCATTTAATCGTCTGACCATCAATGTAGGTAGATGTTCAGGCAGAGAGCTCCCTTCACTGAAGCCACAGAAGCCTCTGAAAACAACCTGATCTGGACATCTAAGGTTTTTTTTTTTTTTGAAAAATTGAAAATCCAGCATACTATATTGTCTCTCTTATTTTTTTTGATCCCTTCAGCATTTAAAATTAATTTGTGCCGGTGAAGTTTTCAATTACCTGTCCGATGAGGAGCAGCTGCATGCACAGCCGGTAAGATAGCCGGCTAGACTGTTAGATAGCTGGTAATATACCTGCTCTACCTGCTATATTATATCAGTTTATATTCTCTATTTTACTCACCTCAATTACTCAATCTATCCCCTAATCTTCCTCTACTCTGCGGGTGAATTATAGAGAAAGTACTGCTATACAGCTACGCATTGCACATTGCATATTACATATTGGTATATTGTTACATATTGTTACATACTGTTACATATTGGCATATATTGTTGTAACAGTGTAACAGGGCAGCGTTTTAGCAGATCTCTAACGAGGAGGAATTTTTTTTTTTTTTAAAGGGGGGGGAAAAAAAGGGTATTATACCCCCTCCTGGGCTTGCTACTGATGAAATCTTTACGTAAGGGATCTAAGCCGAAGTCCAGGAGCAGCACTCTACATTCTATGCACTCCATGTTTCAGCCAGCGAAATCTGCGGATGTAAATGAAGACGCTGCAAAATCCACAAAACGAGCGGCTTCAGGAGCAGCGAATAGCACTGACATGGTGAATAATTGCCAGGATACAACAAACAGCCTGGAAGGCAGGACAAATGGGGATAGCCACGAGATCCAGTCAGATCATCTAGACCAGACCCATCCAGACCTGGGAGAGGGAGGATCAGGTAAAATGTTACCTATTGATACAGCTAACATTTCTATACCTATTATGCGGACATCAGGATTAGACGGCATACAATGTATATTGGCACAAATGAAAGAGGATAGAATTCTTTTAGCCGGAGAGATTGAGAGAAATGCTAAGGAAATAAGATTAGAGATCCAGGCAATTGGTAATCGGACTGCCGCCCTAGAAGTGAGGGTAGAGGCTGTGGCAAAAGCACATAATGATTTATTAATCCAGAGCTCGGAATGGGGCACAAGGCTTGACGCTTTAGAAGTGGCATTTGAGGATCTTATAAATCGATCCCGACGTAATAATATTAAAATTAGAGGGATACCGGAAACCAGAGATGAGGGTCCGGTACAGAATTTGGTTTTAGAAATCTTTAGACCCTTACTACCAGACATTCCTGAACCCAGATGGGAAATTGACAGGGCGCACCGTTTGTCAGGTGGTCTACGAAGGAATGAT